TCAATTTTGTTTTTTATGGCGTTTCCGATTGGTAGATCTAGTGCGAAACTAGTGCGATTTTTTTTATTTCTATCTTTTTCTTCTACAGGTCGATTGAAAGAATGCAAATACACTCAGTGCGCATCGAAATTACCAATCGGAAACGGCATTAGTTTGAAATTTTTTGATATATTTTTTATCATACAGGGTGGCTCAAAAATAGCTTCGCTGGCATCAACTTCATTTATTTAAATAGTACCCCCTGTATATTATGTTATTTCTGGATTCTACGGAAAATTCTAGACATATTTCATGTACAATGTCATATACCTATCTTCAACTGTTTCGGAAATATTGACAGTTGAAAATTGACTTTTTTGCATCTTTGACAGACTCTCAAACCTGAACGGTTGATTTTACAGCAAAACCGATTTTACATTCCTGTCTTAGTTTTTCATAAAATATCCTTTGATATCAACTTTGAAGTTAATCTATGATTAAAAATTCCGGTTAAATTTAATCTCCGCTTTAATCCAAAGTCGGTGTTAAATAATAGTTTAGGTGCCGGTACTTTTGCTCTCATTTGACAGCCGTTAAAAATAATCAGGGCTTTGAATGTGCTCTAACCACATCATACTTATATAGACCTTGGCCCATGCAAAACTTTGACAACGTGTCAAATTCGTTAATCGAGAGCAAAAGTATCGGCCCTAGGCAAATTTAAAATAGGAATGTTAAATCGGTTTTCCTCTAAAATTTACCGTTTAGGTTTTACAGCCTGTCAAAGTTGCAAAAAAGTCAATTTCCGAAACAGTTGAAGATAGGTATATGACATTGTACATGAAATATGTCGAGTATTTTTCGCAGAATCCAGAAATGCCATAATATACAGGGGGTACCATTTAAAAAAATAAAGTTGATACCAACGAAGCTATTTTTGAGACACCCTGTATGATAAAAAATATATCAAAAAATTTCAAACAAAAAAACAAAATTGACGTGTCTGAGCGATTTTTCAAAAATTCTACCGTTTTCAAAATAATGAATTTATTCGGGACTTTATGAACTTACTGTATATTAAACGGGTATTATATCAGGTCTTCAAAAAAAAAACCAATCCAAGATTGCTTTGACTACGAAAACGTACGTCGCATTACTGTTTCTTTATTCGTCAGGATTTTTGACAGGACATTTTGACATTAAATTTCATTGACAAAATTAAATACAAATATTGCTAAGACATACGTTTAAAAAACCATAGCAATCTTTGATTTGTTTTTTTTTTGAAGACCCGATATAAACGGTATAGTTTATGTATCATTTTTGAAGGGATTCCTAGGCTATCCATTTTTCTGGTGAGACTAAGTAACCCGTACTTTTGTAATGAATGCTAGTCTTTGTATGTTGTTATTTTAGACGAGAAGAGCTAATCCAAGCTAATCCGTTCTCATACTAAGTGCTAGTTTTTGTATGTTGATATTTTAGACGAAAAGAGCTATTCCAAAGTAACCCGTCCTCATACTAAGTGCTAGTCTTTGTATGTTGGTATTTTAGAAAAAAAGAGCTAAACCAAATTAACCCGTTTTTTTTTTTAATGAATGCTAGTTTTTACATGTTGATATTTTAGACGAAAAGAGATATTCCAAACTAACCGTCCTCGTAATGAATGCTATTTTTTGTATGTTGACAATTTAGACGAAAAGAGCTAATCCAAACTAACCCGTCTTCGTAATGTATGCTAGTCTTTGTATGATGGTGGACAGCGACTCCAAGGATTGAATTGAAACTAACCCGTGCTCCTAATAATCTTTAAAAAAAAAAATTAAAAAAAACCCTACGGAAGCGCAGAGAGGCCACCTATCCGTGGACGGGTTAGTTTCAATTCAATCCTTGGATTAGCTCTTTTCATCTAAAATACCAACATACACTCAGACAGAGACATTACGATATATTTGGCAACGGTCTCTCGAGCTCTCCCTATTCCTACGACTAGACTCTTGAAATGCTACAAGTGTGTATCTCAAAAATATTAGATGTTGCTTAGGTGAAAATTGAAGCAGAATGAGGTAGGACCATCGCAACACAAGCAGGAACATGTTTAAACAATCTTGCTTCCAATATGTTCCCAAGCCAAGGATGAAGTTACGAACCATAATGAAAATCCCTGTATCTCGAAAATAGTACGTGTTGCCGGGGTGTGATTCAAAACAGGATGAGGCAGGACCATAGCAACATAAGCAGGAACATGTTTGGGCGATCCTGCTTTCAGTGTGTTGCCAATGGAGAAGTTAGCAACCAAAATAAAAATTGTTGTATCTCGAAAATAGTACGTGTTGTCGGAGTCAGATTTGAAGCAGGATGAGGCAGGACGATAGCAGTATAAGCAGGAACCTGTTTTAGCGATCCTGCTTTCAATATGTTGCCAAGGGTGAAGTTAGCAACCAAAATAAAATTCGCTGTATCTCGTAAATATTACCTGTTGCCGGGGTCAGATTTGAAGCAGGATGAGGCAGGACCATAGCAGCACAAGCAGGAACATGTTCTAGCGACCCTGCTTCGAATGTGTTGCTAACTTTCTCGACATGGTTGATCATAATAGACTAACAGAGGAGCTAAGATGAGTGAAGATGGAAAATTGTAATGGTTGTTCAACCCCAATAGAAAAGGATCTCGGAGTGAGTTGTGTAATGATTCTAATGGAACATTAAAACCTTTCAGAGAATTAGTAGGATGCCTTATAAACTTCTTTAGTAGCTTTATTGGTTTCAAGACAAAGCTACTGATGAAGCATTTAATAATTTAAAGAGTTTTGAAATATTTAAAATCAAACATTGGAATAGGGTTAGCTTAGAAGAGAAATAGCAGTAAAGATTTTTTGCTGTTATGTTGATGCTGATTGGGGAAATGATCGATACAATAGATAGAATAAAATAGAGGATGTTTGTAGAAGGTTTAATTGCTTTTAAAGCAGAATACAAAAGTGTTGCATTTTGTATTATCTGGCGCGTCAAGTAAAAAATTGATTCTGCCAGTACATTTCGCAGTGCGGTATTAGCTTTGTTCCAACTCAGCAGGAAACCGTAATATTACCGTCAGGATTCTGCGCAAAACCTAAGATTTTTGCATAGAAACCGAAATTCGTATACAGAGTGGTTCCGAGACCGTTCTGGGACGGTTTTCTGACAGATTGGAAAAAACCTATTGTTTCTATGCAGTTCCCGGCCTCCCGGAATTTCATGCGTCGTAAACTCGACCAATCACAGTTTCTTAGTTGTCTCAACTCGTTGCATGCCTGTGTGTGAGCCAGTTATGTATTAGTTTCCTAATTAGATTTAATACGAATATTTACATTATTATTGTACAAAAAAACGCATATAGCCACCACAATAGCAATATTATGCAACATGGTGCAATTTAAATAAGTGCTTTGCTTACCTTGCATAATATTCTATATTTAAGTAGGAGAAACCAATATATATTGTTCTTTCGTTTTCAAGCTTTCGCAGTAGCCATTAGAATCATCATTATTTTAAGACACAGTATTTATTTTGTTATTCTTTGTTAATTGATAAAGTTTTTAAAAACAAAGTTGATTGAATAGAAAACTTAATTAGCGCAGCCTGTAAGATACTCACAGTGCAACATTACCGCAAAAAAAAAGGAACGCGGATTTCGATAATATGACCTAAATTTTTAAACGTGAAATTGCGGTGCTTACTTTCTTTTTTAGATTAACTCAGTATGAGAGGCATCCCAACATCAACTTGTTGAGTGAAGTTTTCTAGTTTCAAGCATCGTGACTTGTGTTCCAGAATCAATTTCTACATATTCGTCATACTACTAGGATCAATAAATGCTTATTTAATGACAGTAGAAAATCTTGCTTTACCTATTTGAAACCACATATTATACAGGGTTGTCGTTAGGTATGGAAACGTCCTGAGAACGAGCTTAAGTAAAATGTAAAAAGATTATGCTCAAAGTTCTCATATACCTCCTCATCATCAGCGTAAATTCAATCGTCTGGATGCCGTATTGCTTGGATTACGTTTTTGCCACTAGATGTTTGTCTTTTATAGATCATTACCGCAAGTCCTCCTAGTCCTGCGTATTCTCCTCTGAGTTGTTTTGGAATAGCAGGATGTTCATTTTTCAATATAGACGGCTATACGTCCATATAATAGTTCTAAGACATTGTTCGAATATTGTAACTGTCTCATATTTTGGTCTTGATAGATTTATGCGATTTTTTGAATCATACCTTCAGCGAGGTATGGGATTTGTCCTTAACCGTGTTCAATTCCATATATTTACAATAACGGTCACCATACTCCAGTAATTTTTTAAGACAATCTCAGTACTTGAAAACTAACCCAAACTATCATATTTTCATTGAATCATACCCATTATACATTGTAGCCAATTGTACAGTGTAAATACATCAACGGAAAAATCCATATCTATAAAAAGTTTATCTCGTAAAATGGCTGAAAACCTCTTCACAATCCATTGCCGAACGACTTTTTGTTTGCTCCCCATAGAAAGACGATAAAAATCAAACCGAATCGAAATCGTAAACTTTCAGAATAAGCCTCTGTGTGCTGATAGAACGCGATGCCGTCCCCAAGTGAAATGCAGCGGTAACACGTATCGAGTTTCTAAATTCGATTCATGACGTGTGGTTTTAGAGTTTAAAGTTTCATTTTTAGTCGACTTAAAATTCTTCAAGAGCGGTAGCTTGGTACGATAGAAAATGGAACAGCGTGAAAACTGAAGTTCCAAATCTCCTTCGGGAAACGTATATGGGCGATGATAAAAATTATTAATTTTTTTTTTATTTAGAAACTTTACGCTGTTTGAACCCGGTTAAATATCTAATAAAAACTTTCTTTGAGTTTCCTCTTGTACGTTTTCAATTATCAGTGAAAGAGGAGCTGTCAAAAAAAAAGTTTATTTCATTATGAAATGCTAGTAGTTTCAAGTTTAATTCAATTGTAATTAAATATTCTCTATTATTCCAGATTACCCTCCACATATCCTACGTCCACGCGATAGTCAATCCGACATTGTTCCTGGTGCTGCACAGAGGACTGAGAAGAGCAGCCCTCGACGCCTGTTGCGGCTGGGTACCAATTTGGCTAGGACCGCCGCCAGTGCCCACGCCGCCCGACCCGCCCAGACGCACAACGGTGCCGGAGATAGCGTGCCTCAAGCCGCCCATGCCCGCCCATCCCGACAGTGCAATGGTAATTAAATATTATATGTAAGTGGTGTAACATACGCGTTGCATGATTGGGTATTTTGTTTTTGTAGTGTCAGTGTTTATATGCTACTTTTAATTTTCTTTTAGTAGGCCCGGTTCTAAGACCGTTCAAATTAGTTAAACAAACATTTCCTAAATTTTAGAACTGTAAAGTGTTGTTCTAGAAATAATGTTTCTGATGAGTCAAAGTACAGCTAATGATGCTAATGTTCTCGTTTGTAAATTCCGGATGGGTTTAGTTGCATTGACTCAGCCTAAGTTGCTAATAATTGTTCTGAAAGTTTTGGTTAAGCTTGTCTCAGCAGTAAAATATAAAAATTATTGGGATAGGACTTTGATTCGGGTACAGGGGGGCAATTTAACGGGCTGAACTAAAGTTAAATCGCCTCACTTCTGTTACTAGTCACAAGAAATCTCCTTTCTACTACTAGTCAACTAGACTCTGGAATCGCCTCTGGAAATAATGGATCAAATGTACTTGCTGCAAATGAATCATCATAATTCAACAAATTTTGCCTTTCGGAAATGAAGCCTTTACAATGAAAAACTTTTCTCTTACTATCAAGTTCCTAAAGTTTGAAACACCTTGTATTTCATAAAATGACAAACTCAGGGAAAAAGTTACAAGCTGGCTTTCCACGAATCAATATCCCTCTGAAAAGGGTTAACCTAAAATGATCTGATAAATAAGTAAACTGATGACAAGCCATTTAAAATGCGGAATCTCATTAACCATTTAAGAGGGTTTGGAATATTGAACAAAAATATGTCATGCCTTTTAAAAGCATTAAATATCAATTTTCACTAAGCTCATAATGAGATATAATGCATATTATTCTGCAACAGTGCATAACCTACTACATTATATTTATCTAGCGAAATTGTTGATTTTACAGACGATACGCGTAATTGGCTTGCCAATCTACCCCGGTAGCCTATTGGAACGCTTCGCACTATAACACAAAACCCATTATATTGTTGATTGATATTATCGTAGTCGGTTTAAATAAACTGTTTTGGTATGTGATAATAAATTTTGGGGATTGCGAAATGGACTACGTTTTATCCGATTCAAACTTCAAGCACCTAAAAACTTTAGACTTGATTTGGGTCAATCCCAAATTTGCAATTGAAGAGTAGATTCTGATGTACGGTCAGAGTCATTTGTAGATTTGTCACATCAATGAAGAATTTTCATGCAAGGCAATGTTAACAATGAAAATAGAATCAGGACAATAACTATTTTGCCGCTTCCCCAATAAATACCAGATGTATAATTCAAAGAGTTTGATTAACAAATACTATCACTACCTTTTGATAAATCTTCGTAGACAACATCTATCTGTGAGTCGACTTCAAGCTTGATATTATAGTGTTAAGATTGTGATCGTTGATCTTTTTTTTGAAAAACAATTCTGATGTTCTCTGATGTACCTACTATTCGTAGGTCTCAGAAAGAGAGGAAACCTATCTGGGAAGTTTGGGCTCCCCGATTTTGTAATGCAGAAGTGATCCACCATCTTCAATATGTTGATAATCATGGAGCTCAATTATGATATTAAAATGGTCCACTTAACTTGATTAAAAAAAGGTACTGCCAAACTCGGTTCATTTTCCTAAATATTTCTTTTTCATTACCTTTATAAGAGTAGAAATATTTTATGTTTTAACGACAAATATTTCAGTACCGTCGCTTTGATGCCTAGACACTTCGTATATACAGTACAATCCGTTTTTTCACCCTAGGAATGTCTTTAAATGAGAAGATACCCATCTTCCTGGAAATTTGTATGGAATTAAAACTGACTTACTAAAGCAACTACCACGCGCTATTTATAGCAGACAGTGTACTCGGGACTGACTTATCTAGAAAAACCCGGTGCCCTACTTGAATAGAATTCTCCGAATTTCTCTGCGCATCGACCAGGCTCCCTAGGTTTTCGTTGAACAATAATGCACTTTTGAAATTAGGTTTAGCTATAAGTAATTATTAATATTTTTCCAATGAGTTAATAATCGTATATCCACTAATATTTTCTAAAGATTTTCCATAGATAGCATTATTATACAGGGTGTTTAAAAAAGACGCGGCAATATTTGAGGGGGTGATTCCTCAGGTCATTTTATAGAAAAAAGTTCCCATAAACATAGGTCCGGAAATGCATTTTTTCCAAGATACAGGGTGTTAAAGATTTTTTTAAAATAACGTTTTTTTTAAAATAATTCAAATATCTTCTCACCGATTTTTTTGAAAATTGGCAGCGTTGTTTTTAGTATTAGGGGCTAGTTTTGCCCTAACTAGATAATTTTTTTTAAGTCCAGTGGCGTTAGGGGGGGCAATTTAATAAAATTTATTGACGAAAAAATGTACGCCACTGACTTTAATTTAATTTCGATTTTTCTTTCGGATAAATCAACTAAAACTGCAACTTTTTTGTCTCTTAAATTTGTCTCGTATCTTGCTTCGTTTACAAAATAAAAATTGAAAACTATTTTCTTGCTTGTCCATTATGATACAAAAACATTACAAAAACTGTTCAAAGTGACCACCCCCGGCGTGGATGCAGGAATTCAATCTTCTCCTCATTGACTGGCGAACTCTCTCAAAAATACCAGGGTCATTTCTAATTGAGTTACACCCACCAATGATTTGAGCTCTTAGGTCTAATCTTTACCACCCTGTATCTTGCAAAAAATGCATTTCCGGACCTATGTTTATGGGAACTTTTTTCCATAAAATGACCTGAGGAATCACCCCCTCAAATATTGCCGTGTCTTTTTTAAATACCCTGTATAATTGATGACAGTCCTTTTGCATTTTATTTTAAGATTTGTTCCTCATTTCTGTATTTAAATCCATATAAGGTTTGAGAAATGCAGATTGTTTAAATTTGATGTCTCTGTGAAATTTAATTTCATAGGATCTATTTTCAATTGCTTGTTTTAGATTTCTATAATGAATTGTATATTTTTCTTTGTGATTTAAACTGCAAATTATTTTTTTCTGATTTGAATCAGGCGGACATGTATTTTCAGCTAAACGATAATTCATTATGCTTCTTATGTTAATTTAGGGGATATTTAGTATCTACTTCGAATATGTATTCATATTCAGAATCATCTGGTATAGATGAAACATCTAAGAAAAATCACTTGTAGGTAAACATTGACACATACTATGTATGACCATACAGATTAGTTGCATCCAAATACATTATAAACGAATTGGGTTCCGTAGAATCACAATTTGGAAGAAATGGATTATTGCTTATTAGCCTCAGCTTTTCGAATACTACAATGACATATTCTACCCCTAATACTGTTTTTAAAAAAAAAAAAAATACATTTTAATGTCTGTTAATAATTATAATTTAAACCTTGTAAATTTCAACATTGCATCCCAAGATAACACAAGTGCCGTAAAGTATTGCGCAGGATCTAATTCATATACAGGGTGTCCCAGGGAAAACAGTCCACCCCGATTTATTTGATTTGGGATGAGAATCTGGAAAAACACTCGGACACGTCGATGTTTGATTTGAGGGGGAACTATTTTTCAGTTTTTTTCATCCCCGTAGATTCAACACCCTAGCTAGGGGGGGGACAACCCCCCAAATTTGAATAGGGAATACGAGTCGTGTCATACCTCTTTTTGAAGGTTTTTGAGTTCTTTATGGCCCTAGAATTTTGTTTCATTATTTTCATCCGTAACGAAATGACAGCTTGTCAAAATCTTGGAAATAGCCTATTAGTTTTAGTGGGGGTCATCAGATCCTTAATGAAAATACTTGAAATTGAAGTTTTTTATTATTATTATTAATGAGGTGTACACGAGAATTGTAAATTGTAGGTATTTTTACACGTATTTATATTAAAAGAGATAAGTACCGCTTTTACTCCTACTAAAACAATAGTCTATTTAGAAGATTTTGACTAGCTGTCATTTTATTACGGATGAAAATAATGAAATGAAATTCTAGTGCCTTAAAGAACTCGATGAGACCTTTAAAAAGAGGTATGACACGACCCCTATTCCCTATTCAAATTTTGGGGGTTGTTCTCCCCCTGGCTAGAGGGTTGAAGCTACGGGGATGAAAAGAACAGAAAAATAGTTCCCCCTCAAATCAAACATCGACGTGTCCGAGCGTTTTCCCAGATTCTCATCCCAAATCTAATAAATCGGGGTGGACTGTTTTCCCTGGGACACCCTGTATACTCAGGAATACATTCCGAAAAGCCTCAAAACAAGCCGTCAATGTGAGAACATCATATAATAAATATATTTTCGTGTAATTCTTTATATTTTCACAATGAAACAAATTCCAAATATGAATAGCTCGTTCATAATCTGAAGCATCTAAAGGTGTATCTTTAAGTTTGTCATAAAAGTTTTCAATACTTGGAAGTTGGGTTTTATTTAATTTGTCCAAGGAGTCTACATAAGAACAAGGATGAATTCCTTTTTTTTCTAATTTCACTATACTGATTTGAATCTTGAAAATATCTTCTAATTTCTGCACATTGAGTGGTATCTAAGCTATTACCAAGACTCTCCAATGCACTAGCGACAAAACAGAAATAATCTTAAAATTTAAGCCTAATCAAAAATTTGTCAACCGATATTAACTTTGTGAATGAAATGTATTTTTTTTAGTTTGTGTAAGAATATTAGTTTTCTCATTTTCACAACAAAGTTGATTGATGAATAGATGGCTATCATATCCTGTTAGATTGTGGTAAAAAACACCGGAATTAAACTGGGGAGCTTGTAGTTTAAATTACAAATACTATGTGCTGGACCTCGGTATTTTCCAGTTAAATGATCATGAGCTCTTACTTTTTTATCTTAGGAATTGAATTTTTTTATTACATATACTGCAAATAAAACTATTTTTAAATTGAAATTCTTCTTTATTTGTTAGAGACACCATCGGTACTACATGTTTCAAATAATTAATATAAATTCTATGAAGCTTCAATTCG